GAACAAAGCGGTTTCTGGCAAGGTTTCCAACGATCTTATGAAAACCAATAGATGGGTGGACACTTTCAATAGCCTGATGACCAGGTTTGGGAATTTAGAGCGAAACGTCTATTAGAATGATAATCCACCATTGAAAAAAAATCGCGAGACTAATCTTCAGCTTTGAATCGAGCCATCCTCGACAATACAAAATCGACAAATACATCAGCTCAAATCAAATCTTATGAGGGTACTTAATATCGCAATGACACTTTACAAAAACTCCACGATGAGTCAGAAGCCGCATTCCTAAAGTATGGCGAAGCTCAGATGAAATACGATGAGGCGATGCGAGCAGTAAAGGGTAATAACTCAAAATCTGCAAGATCAGCGTTGAAGGCGGCAACCGCAGCCATGAAAGCGACCAAGGCTGGCTTTCAAATCAAGGCTAAAAGCTACTACGATGCTAAAAACTATACCGAGGATGATCAATTCAGTGATAGACAAGACGAGCGCACGATTCGCCAAACGGCGAAAAACATGGTTGATCAGGTAAGAACGATAGCGTGGGGTCAGGGGTTAATAGGAAGCTTCAGGGAGGAGGTACCATGTTTTTTCTCTTCATTTTAAATTTGCGATGCATTGTCATGAAAATATTCTATTTTCTTTGAAAATTGCAGAATTTTTCAACTTGAGTTCGGTACTAGATCCGGACTCTAAATCGAATGACGTTGTAATGACGAATTACGTAGTTGATGTTGCTTCAATGTACGATCAAAATGAAGAAACAATAATGTAATAGTATTTAAGTCTACACCAGATTAATTTGGCGTTATCAGAGCTTATCATCCAATCAGATCGTTCTTTTCCGTTTATAGAGCAACAGCTTCGTACAACTCAGTTGCCTTAAATTCTTAGCGCCCACTCACTTTCGTTGTCCGGCGCTGGACCTCGCGCTCTATCTGCTCTGTTTCAATACTTTGCGATCAGCAGATTTGTTGACCTTCTTCTACTCTTTCTTCTTTCACTACACGTGAAATTTGATCTTTTTACGACGAATAGTTTGTTTAAAATAACGTTTTAATCTTCGATCTATGACGGAGCAAAGTGTTGGACGAAAGAGCACACCATTACCGATATACGTGGGTGGAGCAAGTGGACGTCATGCACCACGTAAGAAAACGTTTCTTAAACGTGGTAATCGTAATCGCAATAGTGACGAACGAGAGATGTCAGCGTTAAAGCAACAAAACATGGTATTAAGTGAACGACGCATGTGGAAAGTGCTTTGGTTGCTCTTTATTGCTGCTTTTGTCACTTGTATGATATGTCTTGTGACATTGGGACGTATGGTACAGAATGGTAGTATCTCGAATAATGAAGTAAAGGGTGGAGATGGAACGGATCGTGGTCTTTTTACTGTGTGGAAAGAGACTCAAGTTTTGTCGAAACTGAAGCGCCTATCACACATGTTTACATCAGTGGATGAATCAAAAGTAAAGAATCAAGTGACAAGAGAAGAATTGAGTAATTTAGGTGATTATGAATGTGTAGGGTGGCGACAAACAACTAATTGTACACCATTAGGAGAACCGGAGCCAGCAAACAATAAAAATTGCTCTGAATTAATTTCAAATGGTGTATCAGGATATTGTGAAGTACGCAATATTCATACTGGTGAGATACAACGTGTTTTGGCTATGCATTGTAGTTCATTACGTCCAGGTGTGGTCTTTCAATGTGAAATGTTTCAAAGTTTACTGAGTTATAATATTTTATCGACTGAGTACGAGCACGATTCAAATTTTTCGTACGAACAGTGTCGCGATTCATTTCGTGCAACGAATCAGTTGTCAATCACTCCTGCACCACTTGGAGATGATGGATTGAAAAATGAAAGTGTTGGACAATTTGATTTATCATTTGACCGTGGTATTGTATTTGTCATTTATGAAAAAGTTCTTCTTGGAACGTATGTTAGTGTACGTTCATTACGTTCATTAGGGTGTACGTTACCAGTTGAAATGTGGTACATGACATCGGAAACAAATCCAGAGCATCCACTTTTGAAATTAATGGTCGAAGAATTGGGCGTGTACCTTCGCGTGATTGAAGATCCCATGGCAACACATTTTTATACGAAATTGTATGCAATTTTCTACAGTGCATTTGATAGTGTCTTGCTCTTGGATGCGGATAATTTTGCTGTGCGAGATCCGACTTATTTATTCGAGACACCAGAATTTGTCAACACAGGTGCCATCTTTTGGCCAGATTTTTGGAAACCGAGTAATACAATTTTTAATATTCATCGCGATAGTTTTGTCTGGAAGTTTTTCGGACTGGAGTATATTGATATGTTTGAGCAGGAAAGTGGTCAAGTGATGATTAATCGCCGTATGCATTATAAGGCATTGAATGTGCTCATGTACTATGGATTCTCATTACCTCGCGCTCATGAGGAACTTCATCTTGTGTGGGGTGATAAGGATTTATTTCGATTCGCGTGGCTTAAGTCCAAAAGTACTTTTCACATGACAGAGCGACCACCTGGTGCAGCTGGAACGAAACATCCTGACTATGATCTTTTTTGTGGGGTGACAATGGTACAACATGATCCAAGTGGTCACGTGATATTCATGCATCGAAATACTGAGAAACTTACGTACTCGAACAATCGAATATTATGGACTCATATTCAAGAATTTAAAAGTACATCAAAATTAAAAGATTACTATGTGCGTGGTGCAAATGGTGGCAAAGTCTTTCCTCAATTCAAAAGATGTTTTGGGAAGGACGTGCACTATGCCAAGCTTTTTACGCTTAAGCCAATGAGTGCGTATCCGTTTGAAAAGCTTGAAGATGATCTTTTGCGATATGCTGCTTCTGGGGCTGATGTTTTACGTCTTGCAGGGTATAAAGATGTGGACGAGAAGGAGTAGAGTGATATAAATTGATGGTTTTATCACATGTGTTTGAAACAAAGCACGATATGTAAGGCCAGATAAAGATTAGCGATGTCCAATATTGACATAATGGACTATTATTGCAATATTCTTCTTTTTAAAATTTATATTATAATGTGATATTTCATCTATCTGGCGTGACTGACAATCATACAACTGTACAGTATGAAAATCAGCGTATTTTACATAGTATGAGTAGAGAAAGAACGAGTGAGTTTAAAATAATTGAATTATTATTAGAAGACGATTATGCCTGATTATGCCCAATCTCTGACGTGATTTTTGGGTATCTGAAACAATATATTTGAAGTGTATCGTATTCAATAAATGAGTCAACCATTGATTACTATCCTAATCTAAAAAAGGACAGATCATAAACCATCTTCTGTCGTACGTCATTCCATCACTTTAACGTCAGATTTCAATTTTCAATGCAATTACAATCACAAATGTCATTTCTAAAGACTTCAAGTGTTCAAGATGGTCTTCTACATCCCAATAGCCAAAAATCTTCAAGTGGCCGTATACAACACACAATGATGTTTGTTTTTTTCGTTTTCGTTGTTTTAACTTGCGCTTTGGGATTGATTTGTGTCGCATCACTTATTCAACAACGTGATCTACAGCTTCAGCGATTAGCATTACGTAGTTTACATGGAAATGAACATGATAGTGTGAATCAGCGAGTTGATTCGATAGATAAAGTGAAGTATCGATCAAAAGCTCAATCAGATTTTGAAAATTTTGAGTGTGTCGGATGGAAAGCTCAGCGAAATTGTTCTTCGGATGGAGGACCTGATCCAATGAATGACAGAGCCTGCAACGCAACGGTTTACAATTCAGAGAGCGGTTTTTGTGAGATTCGAGACAAAATCACTGGAGAATTACATCAAGTGATGAAGATGCACTGCAACTCATTGCGTTCTGATGTGATGTTTCGATGCGATGAATTTGCAACTTTTTTATCTTACGGACGAATAGCAATTGAGTATGTGCATGATACAACGTTTTCGATGAAAAAGTGTCGAAAGCAATTGGTGGAAGATCAAACATGCAATTCAAACGATACGATAAAAACAAATCTCGAAGTGCACAATGCGAACAGAAGTGATTACCTTCCAGGGATGGCATACGAAAGGGGAATAGTAGTTGTTGTTTATGAAAATGTACTTTTAAGCGTTTACGCTTTGGTGCGATCCTTACGATCTTTAGGCTGCACATTGCCAGTTGAATTGTGGTATAAACGCTCCGAGACGGACCCTATGAACCCACTGCTTCGAGATCTTACGTCAAGATATGGTGCCTATATCCGCGAGATTCGTGACCCGAGAGCAGCCACATACTATACCAAGACATATGCCGTGTTTTACAGCGCATTTGACCAAGTGCTGCTTCTTGATGCTGACAACTTTGCTGTTCGAAATCCAACGTATCTCTTTGATACATCCGAATTTCAAACGACTGGCGCTATTTTTTGGCCAGACTTTTGGCATTTTAAAAAGACGATCTTTAATATTCAGCCCACTAGTTTTGTATGGGAAGTCTTTGATTTACAGCCAGTGGATATGTTTGAGCAAGAATCTGGTCAAGTTTTAATTGACCGGAAGAAACATGTCAAAGCACTTAATGTCTTGATGTATTATGCGTTTCATCCTCACGTTTTTGAACGCCTTCGACTCGTATGGGGAGACAAGGATCTATTTCGATTTGCTTGGCTTAAAACAGCAAGTTCTTTTCACATGATCGAGACACCACCCGGTGCTGCAGGTGTTAAACTTCCAGATCAGAACATTTTTTGCGGTGTTACGATGGTGCAACATGATCCGAAGCGTGGGATTGTATTCTTGCATCGTAACCAACAGAAACTTTCGAGCAATAGTCGTGACAAGGTTTGGGCTCACATTCAAGAGTTTCGTGTGGATGAAGTGAATTTAGAAGAATATGATATTCGGGGTGCTAACGGTGGTCGGTGTTTCCCAAATTTTAAGCGCTGTTTTGGTAAAGATATGGATTATGAAAAAGCTTTCACAGTTCAAGCCATTGACAAATTGCCGTTCGCTAATCTTGAGCAGCAACTATTGAATTTTGTGCATGAAGCGATGTCACTATAGCGTAAGTTTGTTACTAATTGTCAAAATAGCATATTATCAAGGTATGTTACGTGAGTTACATGAGATTTTTTTAACTTGGAGCGAAGTAAATATATTTATCACTTATTCTTGTTTCAGTAAATAAATAGTTTCTCTCGATCGTCAAATATCATTTTATAAAAATATATGTAGACACTAAGCATGAAGATGGCAATCTCATGGAGAGTGAGACGCACCAGGTCATTTAATATTAACACGGTAGCATAAAGTTAAGAGAAATGATCTCGCCAAGTGAGCACGCACCATGCATCAGCTGAAGAAAATCCCGCCCGGTCAACCATCGCAAACATATTACACCTCTATGGAGCAATTTTATCTCGAGGTTTATTAGACAAACTTATGCAATTCTCCTACACTTCTCACTGAATTCGAGACCTGATCATCGTTTCTTACACGCGATTCTACTACAGTTCGATGATGGCATTGTCGGTACGACCAAAATTTTACATAATGTCAATCGAGATTTTATCGAAAGGCATAGCACCTTATAAAACATCCATATGCAAAATGATCCAGACGCTATTGAATGCTCAGCGAATATGCTCGTCAGCACGACACGTAGTCACACGAGACTTCACTTGCGATATTTTTTTTCGACTATTCATTTTTTTCTTTTTAAATGTCAATCTAGCAACAATATTGACTTGCCGTTTGAATATTCAACGATGACCTATTCTCCTTCATGCTTCTTTCCAGCATACATTTCATGTATAAAGGCAGAGTTTGAAGCCTTAGCAAGCGTTGGACTTCGTCAGAAATCGATAGATAATGTAATGCTGGCAAATAGCATATTTAAGCGCACATCAAGTGTTCAACATTGCTATCCACATAACATTACTAAGTCTCGACTGAAGAAAGGTTTCCTCGATTACAACAAGGCGAAAGTTTCCACTGCTCAAACAGAAACTCATATCATTCCACGTTAACCAACTTCAGCATGATGGCTTCCAAAAATTTGTAATGTAACGCTCAATCCGGTGTACTTACACCGTACAATTGTAACGAAGTACTGATGGAATTTCGTCTATATGATCTTAAATTATGTGTAAGTCCTAAGAATCTAAACCTGTCAGAATTCTTTTCTGCTTTGACATGTTGATCTCCACGTTCCGACGCTTCTTAAGCGTTGATTTTCTACTTGTCAGCCGAAATCCTTATTGTGTCATCTACTATTTTCTTCATCTGTTGACACCCTAGCATGAGCCTTTAAGTACAGCCGTGATTGAAGACTTTTCTTTGCTGTTGAAGTTTACGACAATACTTTGTAAGACGGGCTCTGAGTAACATTTATCAGCAATAAAAGTTTTTGGATACGATGTGTTTTCCTCGACTTTCTCGATGCATCTTCTGGTGAAACCTTAATGATTCCAAGTGAGGCATGTCTGAATGTTTTCCTAGTGAAAAATTGTCTATTTTGTTAGCTCACACCCCATGTCTACAGGTTTCACTTACTTTGTACCTGTTCGATCATGTAACATGAGTAACAATGTCGTTGTAATAAAACGAGTTTTTAGCTACGCTGCCCTGGCACAAACATATTTCGCCACTTACTCGGGTGTTGTGCTAGAAAAGTACTAGCAAGCTCCGCTGCTTCTTTCGTAAAATTCAATCATTTTTCTCAAGTAAACTCGTACAAACATCGACTCCTTTTACGTGGAAACAAAGTGAATCCTTAGCTGATTGTTTTCTGCGAATTTCTGACCCTTTGAAGCAACCTGTGCACATCCTTTGGCTTAAAAACGTACCCTGCTTCGACTTGAAGAAGATTGCATTTTTTTCAGCTTGAAACCATTACTGACATCTCGCGAGGACTCGTTGTTTACAGCTTGCACTGCGCTAAGGGATGGCTAAGAATCTGACCATTGCAATTCTTCATTGCCCAGAAGTCTTCCAACAAACGATATTAGCAACCCTTGGGCAAAACGCTACCCGCGAATTTGGATTGGATTTGGAGCCATGTTTAGTTCGTACTGTTCTTCTTGCCGAGCACAAAATAAAATAGCAGCTTGTGACGTTCGATTATGCCCTTCTAACACTTTCATATGCTGACTGCTGCATTTGAACACTCAACGGTGTCAAAATACCGGCGGATCACCTCATAGAATTTGATATACCCAATTACTTCTTGCGATTTTTCCTAATGAGCCCATCTCTTCTTGCTCAAGTCCTTGATCCTACCATCCGTGTCCAGAATATGTAGCTCCCATCAAACAATTTCAATGTTTTCGTTTAATTCAGTGAGTAATCGCAGCAGAAGTTTTTCAGTGCATTGTACGAAGCAGATTGTACGTAAGTGATCGTGAAAAGAAGATGAGGTTTTTCAACATTACCTTGGTGCTATCGAGATTGAGCAATCACTTATTCTCGTATCGACGTAAATTGTCTAGACTTTACTAAGTAAAGCTTGAATAAACTCCACATCGCCGTCGTCGTAGTCAATTTATACTATTTGCATTCAGACAATTAGCTTTAAGACCTTGCTTCTTTAAAGAAATAATTGCGGATTGAGCAAAAGTGGTGTTATCAAAAAGCTCTTCAGGCGACTCTGTTTACTGCAACGCCTTTTTTATCCTTTCTTGAATAGTGCGAACAACTTGGCTACTTTGTATTGGACTTTACTACCTGCCGATAAAACTTGCGACAAGCTCAGATCTAATGATTGCCAGATTTACTAATCGAACTTTGAGTATAAGTTCTGGTGAGCCATCTCTTCACTACGCGGTTGCTTCTTACAACTGTATCACTGCATTATCAATATATTTTCTGAGCCGAATAATGTCCGAAATCATGAATGTACGCTAAGTCTTGGTGATTATAACGAATTCAATCTGACTTGGGAAAATTGCCAAGTATCGCTCATAAAAAATTTTATACTGGAGCTTGTCGTATAAGCGTCAATCGATGCGTTGACGCACATGCGACAATAATGATTCTGTCAAATAGAAAAGATTGGATTTCGAAAAGAATGCCGGTTTATCTTCTTTTGCTGAAGGCCGGTAAAGAGACTTCTTCACTAATAGCGAATGAAGCATCCAACATTTGCCTCAAATCGATAAGCACATGAGAAAATCACCAGCTTGTTCGTAGTTTTTGCTAAGAAATACTTTGTCCTGTCTACTTACGACAAGTTGTTCCGATCGATATGATCATAGGAATGAACGAGATGTATAGAAATGTTGTACAATCATGTCTTTAGTGAATACCTCAAAAATGTGGTTTTGAAATGCTATGCGAAAACTTATGCGACACGAAAACTGTAGGTGACAGCACGATAGAAGGAATGCTAATGTTGCACGATCACACGTGGAAGGAAACGTGATATGCTGATAGGATTCGGTCTATTTGATAAGTCGGAAAAGATATGTGAAGTGTTATTAGTCAAATCTAACGAAGGTAATTGAGAAACGTATTATTCAACAAGGTACTCACTGAATGTGCGTATCGACTAGTATGTAGATCTTGGTAATGTAAGTGTCGAAAAAAATCATTGATGGACGGGAAATGCTGTAGACGTTCAAACCTAACTGCAGACAATTAGAAGAACGCAAATGAATCTGTAGCTAGTAACAATTTGTGCTGTAAATGCTTTGAGTATATGTTCATCAACACAAACAATTGCAAGTTTTCCCTTCCAGTCATTTAAACGCAGAAATTTTTGAATCGTACGAAGTGCCACTTGAGCTCCTTCATCTCCTGGTACACCCATATTTCCCGTAGAAATCGACACCATGGCTACACACGTCATTCCTTCATGTAAAATTGTGTTCATGACATTATCACGTCATTCCTTCATGTAAAATTGTGTTCATGACATTATGATACGTCGTAGCCAGAAGTTCGTAACAGCTGGACATTGTAATTCGTGGTCCAACACAGTGTATGAGTTTCTGTACACCCGCATCAAATCATGGTGTAATCACTGCGGATCCCGTAGGACGACGTCCAAGAAACGATGGATCGTTGACATATCTCGAGAGATTTGGACCGGCTCGACGAAATATTGCTCCTGCTGCACCTATATAGTGATTTGTCAAATGTGAGTTTGTTGGGAAAGCAATACCATCCAAAGTTTGACCATCAATGTCTTGAATATCCCCAATATCACCCTTTACAATTTGAATTGTTTTGTCAAAGTTTAGACATTCGTCCATTGAGTGTAAAAATTCTTGTAGCTCTACGCATGTAAGCTCTCGATTTGTGTAATTCCATCCTCGATCTTGCATTGGATGTTGTGAGAATCTCAACTCGATATTTCGTGACCCTTTAAAATGCTGCTTGAGTAACTGCGTCCAGAGTAATTTATCTTGTAAATGTCCTTGTAGTTCCGTTGTTTCGTGAAAAAGAGATACAATAGCATCAACATCGGACACATGGAGGAAGCAAAGAATAGAATAAGTGATGCCTTCCACTGCAAACGCTTGTAATGTAGATGATGATAGTGACATGATGAGAGGTAAAACAATTATATTTGTAAGTTAAAGCTTACGACAGATACTTTAAAATTTAGCAATAACGTCTAAAATGAAAAATCACGGTTATATCTTAACTTCAGGGTGGTGCACACAATGTAGCCTTGCAAGCGTGATCAATTGATGGACCAACGTCCACGCTTCGCCGTTTTGTGTGAGGGTAAATCCTTATGCACGCGGTGCATTTTCCTCACACAGGGTTCTTAATGGCATAAAATTTATTTGAGCCACGGCAATAAACAGTAATGCAAGCGGTGATGGACCTGCACACTACCCTGGAGATTTCGCTTTAGGCCCTGGTTATTAGTATCGAGGGCCATCGTCAAACCAGAAAAATGCCCTAGGCTGAGAGAGATTTCAAAATTGGAATTCTGGTCGTTTGACGAGCCACAAATCGCACAAATCGCGATGAGAATAGCGATTAAACCTAGTTTGTCGCTATTCTCTAAGGCACAACGTTAACCAAACTACTGCCAAATAGTTGGACATTGAGTCGAATCCAACAGAGACTGATCAAACGGGGATATGATACATAGAAATCGGGATCCAAGAGCCTTGTTCTCTCACATCAAGTCTGCAAAGTCACAGTTATTATCTCTTGATCATTGCGTCTTAATGTGTTCGGCTCTTAAGCCTTCAGTATGTCAAGAGACCAACTCGATTTGAAAATTTCGCCGGACGGGTGTAAAGAATGAGAGCTTGGCCAATCATGAGCTTCTACAAGTTTATACCATGACAAGTAGTGGACGATATCTCACGATGCATGCTTATTGTGAGAAGTTACCACAGCGTGAGTACGATGGGATCATGAAGTAATTTTGATAGAAACCTCTACAAGAAGTAGGGCCGTGCAGCGCAACGCTTCCCATTTTTATTTAAAGTTTCTAATTAGCCGATAGTTGTAACAGCAGACCCATGGAAACGACCAAAGGCTGACGTGGATATGGTGTGAGGTCAAAGCCGAAGCAGCGTCCAGTGGCGACCTTCGCCTCGGCATCAGGGCCGCACTTAAGCTTCGCAAAGCGTTTTAGTCGGGCTCAATATCTTTTAACGACCTGTATAATCGCAAATTGGGTAATTCACTGAGTCTTCTCAACCCAAAGTTTCAGCTAAGTCGTATATGGTTTGGCACATTCAACAAGCCGCAGTACCAACATTGATGCTCTGGCATAGGGCAAAACAACTAATGATCCAACGGTTAGCGGTAATTTGACGTGCTGTACTGGCAGAACCACGCAGGAATTCCTGTGCTTGAAATATGTTTTCGGACAGAGCTGCAAACGAGAAAGCGGCAACCAAATCAGTCGGGTCGAGGTGCTTAAATTATAGTTGACGGCCTTATTGTCGGCCGCTATGACTGATGCGCTTGTCAACAATCAAATTGTGCTCATTCACAACATCGTGATAATTCACTACAAGACAGACTCGAACGTAGCCCTGTTGATGGAATTCTGATAGCATTGTACTTGGGAATAAAAGCGATATCTGCAGTTCTATCGATGATAAGAGTAGATCGCTCAGCCTCGAAGTTGCAATAATAGGAGGGAAGCCGCAAAGCCGAGTTGTCTTTGACGAAGGTGATGCATTAAGACTCGTAAAGTCACTGTGGCTATTCTCATACTGAATAAGGCGTTATAAAGTCAGCCACAGAGGATGCGTCTCCTTTGGCGGCTCGTCGAAAAAAAATCTCCGACGTGATTTATACTCAACGAGCTCACATTAAAGCGTGATGGATACAAGTGTTTTGGCTTGTAAGCCTAATGTCGAGGAAGATGAAATGTGGAACACATCCTGTATGTTCACATAACGCGCCTGTCTTTTAGACTTACAAGATAACCGTGATGAAGAAGCATAATGTATAATAAGTGACGCGAGAAGAGGTATTCAAACGAGTCCGGAAGTCGGGCTCAGGCCGCCCGTCACCATTTTAGGCGCAGACGACAACCGTCTCGTCACGATTCCAGTTCCGTCTTCTTTATTGGGGAGATCCTTAGGGTAGTAGATCAGCGCCGGGGCTTGTCCTCATACAATTTTATAGTTTACGTTAGAAATTAACAATTTCATCTTTTTTTGGTATGGGGTCCACATCATTATTAAGATATTTGCAGTTAAGAATCCGAACCACTCGATGCTAACCATTACGCTTCGCTCTACCAAGTCGCTGCAGCGCATCACTTGCAATTCCTTTCGGACTTTTGCTACTACAAACTCGTTTAATCCTGACACTTACGAGTCCAAATATTTGGCCAAAACGTACAATTCTGATGGTGTCCGTGGCGAAACTGGTCTCGTATTTACACACGGCAAAGGCAGCAAATTATACGACGAACAAGGTCGTGAATTTCTAGACTTTTACGCTGGCATTGCTGTCTCTGGTTTAGGTCATGGGGATGAAGATTGGTATCAAAGTCTTGTTGAAAATGGAAAAAAAGTGACGCATGTGAGCAATTTGTTCCATACTCAAGCGCCACTTGAATTAGCGAAAACACTTGTCGATAATTCATGTTTTGATAAAGTATTTTTTGCAAATTCGGGGACAGAAGCGAATGAAGGTGCTTACAAATTCGCACGTTTGTATGCGAATCGTGTCGCCGAGGGAACGTACGTCGTTCATTTTGGTCATTGAATGGAAGTTTTGTTACTTAATTTCTATTTGCTGTCTTGCTCTAGACCTTATGAAGGACAAAAGTATGAATTTATTTCATTTAAACATGGTTTTCATGGTCGTACAGCTGCAGCGTTAACTTTAACACACAAGCCTAAGATTCGAAAAGCGTTTATGCCATTAGTACCAGGGGTACACTATGCAGAGTACAATGACATTGATAGTGTCAAAAAGGTTATATCAAAGAAAACGGCAGGTATTTTTGTCGAACCTGTTCAAGGTGAAGGTGGTGTGTATCCAGCAGATCCAGAATTTA